ATGATGTTCGAGCGGCAACGCCGCTCGAACATCATACGCGAGAGGTGGAATTTGCCCTTAGACGTTCAAGGCCGCCATCCCGAAGCCCAGGGAGCCGGGGGAACGTTTCGCGCCCACCCCCGCGGCCATTGACGCAGGCGCCAGGATTGCCCATTGGAAACAATGGGAGGGCGGCTCCAGCAGCGGGGCGGCCATAAGTTTTTAAAGAGCCCCTAAGGAGAGCTGCTGGAGCCAAAACGACCTCTCGCGATTATCATACGAGAGGTGGAATTTGCCCTTAGACGTTCAAGGCCGCCATCCCGAAGCCCAGGGAGCCGGGGGAACGTTTCGCCCCTCCCGCGCGGCCATTGCCGCAGGCGCCAGGATTGCCCATTGGAAACAATGGGAGGGCGGCTCCAGCAGCGGGGCGGCAATAAGTTTTTAAAGAGCCCCTAAGGAGAGCTGCTGGAGCCAAAACGACCTCTCGTACATCATACGCGAGAGGTGGAATTTGCCCAGGGAGCCGGGGGAACATTTCGCGAAGCCCAGGGAGCCCAGGGAGCCGGGGGAACATTTCGCACCCTCCCCGGGCGGCCGTTTCCGCAGGCCCCAGCGGAGGCAGCCTGAACTTTTTAAAGAGCCCCTAACGAGAGCTCGGGGAGCTGAAATGAGCTTGTGTTTTTCGAGCGTAGTCTCCATTATTCCCTATGGACAAACGTAGTCTCCATTGTTCCCTACGGGCAAGCGTGCTTTCCATTATGCTCTATGGGCAAGCGTGCTTTCCATTAATCTCTCTGGGCAAGCGTGCTTTCCATTATTCCCTATGGGCTAGCGTAGTAGTCTCCATTATTCCCTATGGGCAAACGTAGTCTCCATTGTTCCCTACGGGCAAGCGTGCTTTCCATTATTCTCTATGAGCTAGCGTAATGTCCATTATTCCCTACGGGCAAACGTAGTCTCCATTGTTCCCTACGGGCAAGCATGCTTTCCATTATTCTCTATGAGCTAGCGTAATGTCCATTATTCCCTACGGGCACGCGTGCTTTCCATTATTCCCTATGGGCAAGCATGCTTTCCATTATTCCCTATAGGCAAGCATGCTTTCCATTATTCCCTATGGGCTAGCGTAATCTCCATTATTCCCTATCTGCAAGCATGGTTTCCATTATTCCCTATGGGCAAACGTAGTCTCCATTGTTCCCTATGGGCAAGCGTGCTTTCCATTATTCCCTATGGGCAAGCGTGCTTTCCATTATTCCCTATGAGCTAGCGTAATGTCCATTATTCCCTACGGGCACGCGTGCTTTCCATTATTCCCTACTAGAAATAATGCCCGTTGCAAAAATAAATACAACGATATCTAGAAAGAGATTCTGGGAGAGTGCTCTGGCTTTGGGCAAACAGTGTCAGTTTCCTGTGGCGACCTCAGCAGGGTTTAATGACAGAGTCCACTGTTTTCTCCAGAGGGACTGATCTCTGCTACCTGAAGAGCATTTGTATGTTTGAGTTATCTGTAGCCCTCACCTGGAGAGTGGTAACCATTGTTACCCATTCTCCTCTCCCCTATGAGGTATGTTATGCAACTGAAAATTCCAACTGCCTTGCGGGGGGGGGGGAGTTTGAGGGGCGGAGTGGACT